AAGGATGCGGCAGAAGCCTGCAGGCAAGGGCTGGCAGCACGCCTGCACCTATCTGTGGGCACTGCCAGAGCAGGAGGGCGAAGCTCGCAGGCTCGGCTGACATGAAGAAGTCCTCTTCCACTTTGCCAGCAGGAACATGTCTGCTTCCCTTCTGTCATGACTTTCCCCGGGCACAGAGGAGTGTAAATGACAGTATTTCACAACCTCCCAGTTTCAGACAACCAGAATTAGACCCCTGGAGGTGTCTGCCAAGTGCATGAGCTTACATTTGCTGCACACAGAGCTGGCATTCGTTGGCATAGGTGTTCCCATCAGTCCCACAGACAGGCAAGTACAGGAGGGGGCAGGCCTGTAGCTCAACCATGTCTCCGCACACCGGCTGGAAAGGAGGAACAACAGCCCACATTTCAGTGCCAGCAGCACCCATCTCCTCCTCCCACGGCAGCCAGGCAGGAGCAAGTACTGGAGATCTGACTCTCTTTGCCCTGGACAGGGCAGGGCAGGCACACAGAGTGGGAAAGCAGGGAGAATAGGCCCCCTCACCCTTCAGAGGGACTCACAGCCTAGGCTTGGATGTGGGTTTGATGCTGGAGCACCAGTACCCATGAGGCTGGCTATGATTGCTGGGAATAGCCTTTCCCTCAGGCATGCCAGGGACTAAATCCCATCTCAGGCTATGAACAAGGAAAACCAGAAACTTCTTACCTTTCTCTGACCATTTTCTTTGTTCAGCTCTGCCCCTGAAATAGAGCAGAGACCTGTGAGCGTGACAGAGCTGTGACTGGTAGCAGGAACACAAGGATTGACAGAGGGTCACATCCAAACCAAAGAGAAGGCAGTGTTGTGCAGGACCCAGAGCAGCTGTGTGGGTTTCATGAGGGGCATGAAACCACCTCCCCCTCCCCAGCAGCATAATGGACAGACTCCATCCACAGCTGAGCCAGCTGGGACAAAGCTGGGAATGCCTGTTCCAACCCTCTAACCTGTCTCTTCTAGTCTCTGCACCAGGAGATCCACAGAGCATCCAACACATCCCAGAAAATGTGAACCTATACAGTGCCACACGGGCACACCGAGTATCTAGAGAGGGCTGAGGCTGGGTGACGCTGCAAAGCCAGACAACAGCCACCCCCAGGGAGAGCTGCATTTGGTGGGTTCATTTTTTGCAGTCAGGCAGAGCAGTAGCAACAGTTCACAGCCTTTCCGTGCAGTGCACGAATGTGCTGGGAATGTGAGGGCTCACATGTGGGCTGCTGCAGAATCACCGCTACATGCACCAAGGTGGCACCAGTCTTCCAGAGCCTACAAACATCTGCTTCCCACGTGAATGTGCTGAGCACATAATGCTCTCGCAAAGACTTGCAGGTCTTCACATAGGCATGAAAAACATCAGCTGCCACCCCAGTGTATGTGCTGTCCTCCCAGATCCTGGTTCCCATTTGCATTCCAGAATCACAGAACTTTTGGGGTTGGAAGGGACCTTGGAAGGTCATCCAGTCCAACCCCCCTGCCAGAGCACGGTGACCTGGAGGAGGTCACACAGTAACATGTCCAGGTGGGTTCTGAACGTCTCCAGAGAAGGAGACTCCACAACCTCCCTGGGCAGCCTGTTCTCTAATCCCATCCCTGTCCCGAGTGCAATATGGTTGGTGAACCAGCCTGTAAATCTTGGCCCTGAACTGCTAGTAAGGCATGGTATGTTTGCGCCAGTCCTTCTTCCCCACCTGCTGCCACTGTATTTGCTTGCCCTCCTCATCTCCTCTCCAAATCAGAGTTTCTGGGTCTTTCTGTCCTCTCACACGTTTTTTGGTCCCTCCATGGTTCCCAGCACGCCACCTAAGATCAAACAACCAGCAGCAGAGTGGGCTTACCACCAGCAGCAATGAGAGTCACCAGCGCCACCAGCAGCAGCAGCTCCTTCACAGGCATGGTCAGTTCAGGTGCACAGGCGCTCGTGCACCTCACCCCGCTCATGGCTGCCTTTATACGGGACGGCATCGTCTTATCTCAGCAGTGCTGGGAAAAGCAGCATTTTGAGCAGGTTTGATCTGTGCTGGGACCAGCTGGACTGTGCACCCAGGAGGATTATTTGAGCGCACCAATGCAACTGATAAACCGCCCTGATTCCACTCGCCAGGCTCCAGGTGCTGGAGGCTGCTTTATAATCCCTTTTCACTGTAGTCTGGGTTAGGCAATGCTACTCTTCTCCGCTCCACCCAGACAATTTAGCTCTGGGTATATATCACCTGAAACCAGCCCTCCAGCTTTGCAGCTGCTGTTTTTCATACGTGGCAGGCATCTCCTCTTGGGTTGGGAGACTTCACATGCAAAAGAAAGGGGATTTAGGCTGATGTGGCCTGGCCATTATGCCTTAAGACCCAGCCAGGTGGACGCTCAGCTGCCTGATGCACTGGACAGGACCCCAGGAGGGCGATCTCCCACACACAGAAGGACTGCTACCATGCTGCGGCAAGACCACCCCATCTCTGGGGAGGATAGGACGCATTGGATGGCACAGAGGGAATGAAATTCAGGTAAGAGGAAGCAAGGAGCTGCAGGTGTAGTTGCTGCCTGTACTCCTCTACCTGTTGTCTTGGGCGGTTTAATATCTTGCTCCGTTCAACAGCTTGGTCACATAAACAGTTGCAGCTGAGATCGACAGAGCAAAATTGTCTTTGTCATAAGACTCGATGTGATGGAAGGGGGCTGTGTGCATGCATACCCAGTTTAAATAGGCACAGGTGGCACACGGAGTGGGGAGGGGACAGAGAGGCTGAAGAGGAACCTCAGTGGTCAGAGACACTCAATCTTCAGTGAAGGACTCTTGCGCAAGCATCATCACCCCAGAGGATTCCAGCTGCTTTGCCTACAGGACCGCATGCTTGACATCAGTCTTTCCATATGAGCATCATCTCTTTCTGAGAAGCTGAATTTTCTACATCTGTCCCCACTTTCCTCTGGTGAGTCTAAATCAATTGGTCAAGGGTGAAGGATGAAGAAGAGGACCACTGGGCAGAAAGTTAGTTTCATAGCTGAAGACCGGTGTTGACCAAAAAACCCTTTGGGACAGACTTGCTGAGATGAAGTCTGGGCCAGAGGTGACAAAGGGTCTCCTTCTCCCTGGGAGCAGGTAGGAGTGGCTGTGTGTGCGCGGGGCGGGCGGGGAGTAGGTGTCCTATAGAGACCACCAGCAGGCTGGGAGGGCTCCAGACACCCACAGCACCATGTTTGCACTTCCTGAGGAGCTGACCGTTGACTGTGCTCAGGACATTTCTTCCCCACAGTCTTACCTCAGATTTAGGAGGTCCATGCCGGCCCTGGCTGGCTGAGACAAGAGAGAATGTCTGGGTGAGCAATACCGCGTGGCCGGAGGGTTATGGGGCCTTCCACAAGGCTGCTTCCATCCTTGCCCTTGGGAAGTCCTTCCACCCTACTCAACAGAGCTGTGACCAGGTTTTGGGAAGGGGGAAGGTGACCAATTTAGGGTTCTTCTTGCAGAATAATTCCTCTGCTTTGCCGAGGTGGCTGTGCACATGTTTTATATTCCTACTTCATGGAGTTTACACAGTTCAATAACCTTTGCCTTTTATTACTATTCCACTTTGGAAATCCCTCAACTAAAGTAAATATTTAACTGCATTAGCAGTTGCTCCTGAGGCACATGGGGGCCTGTAGGTCTTGTTTAGTCTAGTAGAGGGGAGGCCAAGGGGGGATCTGATAGCAGCGTAGAGCTGCTGAAAAGGCAGTTAATGGAGCCAACCTCTTCTTGGTAGCACCAGATGACGTAATAAAAGGCAACAAGCACAAACTGCAGCCCTAAGATTTCCAGATCGGGAGTTAGGAGAGAAACCTTATCCCAGAGGGTGAGCAACCCAGACCAATGAGGAGGTGGGAGATCTCCATCCTCAGCGGGCTGTGTACATAGTCATGATGCCCTGACCAAGCCCTGCTGTGCACAGCGTTTGGTGTGTGAGCCCTGGAGGGCCCTGCCACAGCAGGCAGGGTCCTAGGGACACAGCAGCTCTCATTCTCCAGCACATGTGGATGTATCTCCTTAGGAAATTGCCCACCTTGCAGATCTGGCCCCAACCAACACTGAGCTATGTAGGGGACAACATGGAGCCGCTTCTGGCAAGCTGCTCCCACACCAACACTCGGCACAGCCCTGGATGAGGGCTATCGTGGGCCTTTACAGTCTTCTTCGATGTTTTTACTACTGGAAAAACCCACCCAAAATGCTGGTTGTAACGCCTCTGGTGCCACTCCTGCAGAGAACCATGCTGTGCCACCGGTCCTGAGTGTGGTCCGGCTCCTCAGGTCGTGCTGGCAGCAGTGCAGGAGCAATGCTCTGGGGCTGTGCAGCTGGGACACGTGTGCTCCACATCTTGCTCTCCTTGCATGGAGGGGAGCAGGAAAAGCCTGCATTCCCTCCGTGACAGAGGCTGCAGGTCATGCCCTGCTATGGAAAAGCTGTTGGCTAATACAAGGCTTGATCTTCCACCACCCGGTTCCTCAGTGGCGTTCAAACACCACTGCCTTCACAAAGAAAATGTAAATGACGTGCTAAGAGATGACACAGGGGAAATCACCTCTTGCAAATTGTTTTTGTCTTTTCCTGCTTCTCTCTCTAGCACAGGCTTGCAGCCCCTGACAAAAGCCTTGCCTACTGTCCCCCTCAAAGTAAAGGTGGGGAAATTCTTCCTCAGGTGGGGCAGGTTTTCTACTGGCTGCTTGCCCTCACATTAACCATGCAGCCTGAGCTATGTCTGAGACAGTCATGCTTTTGAGCCTGGGCTCTGTATTGCAGGTATCATGAAAGAGGGCTGTCCCTCGTGGGTCCTGGGCTCCCAGCAGAACAGCAACATGTGGGGAGATGCTCCCCATCCCCTGCACCTGGGGCTACCCTTGGACTCGCCTCTGGCTTCTCCCAGGACAGGGGCAAGGCTTCTGGCTCTGCCACCTCCTCACCACACTCTCACCAGCTGCAGCCCTGCAAGACACACAGGAGGGGTGGGCAGGAAGGTTCCAAGTTTGCCTGCAGAGCTGGAGACAGTTTTGCCACCAGGAAGGCAGAGAAACTCTGCTGGAGACTGCAGCAAGAAGGAAAGGGACTTCTATTTCCAAACCCAGTCTCGTGCTTGTTCCCCTGCGGCGTTGCCCCCACCTTTGAGCTCGCTCCCAGCTGCTCACCGGCACCCACCCGCCCATATCCACTCTGCCCACCCAAGATCATTCCTGGCATCGTGAGCCCTTTCCCTCCTGGGTGACCACGGTGCTCTTGCACCATTAACTGCTGGGCACCGATGGCAGGAGGCCAAGCCGGATTGCATCACGTTGCTCTTGCTCCACGTCTGCCCGGTGGCCTTATCTATGGTGTGGCCTTGGTGTCGTCACTGCTCCACCCAGCACCTGCCAGTTCCTTGCTGTTATCTGTTTCGGGTTTTTTTTCCTGGATTTCATGGTGTTCTCAACCTTGTGACTTGCTGCACTCGCACCAATATTTTAACTCCTGTTCTGCTGCTCCTCTGAGGGTTTTCTGCATACCAGCAAATGCTGAGGGACCCACAAACGCCGCAGTGTCCCAGGAGCAGGACACTGCCTTGCTTGTGCAGCCCAAGCCCAGAGCCCACAGTCTATCCTCCCATTGCATGAAGAGGCAAGTCATAAAGAGGAGGGAAAGTACTATACTGATTTTCATCCTTAGCTCCCTCCCTGCCTCCAGATGGTTTTTACTAAGATGATGATACTCTGTTCTGCCTATTCACTCAGCAGGTCTCCCCTGAGTAGGAGGGAGAAGGACTGATTTGTTCCCTTTGGAGGCAAAAAAAAAAAAAAAAAGCAGGGATGGAGGTGACTGGAGGTTTTCCTTCAGATATACAAAGGACCCAAAACCTCACATCTGAAGGGGTTTCCCTGCGTAACTGGGGCAGAGACCAGCCATCACCACTTCCTGGCAATTTCGTCAGATTTTCTGGAACCAGAACACACCTTTGGCTACCTCCCTCCTCCCTTTATTACTGTGGGTAAATACTCCCACGTGGCAGGCAGTGAGTAACGCTCATTATTTCTTAGATGATTCAGAAATTTCCCGGTGACACCGTTGGCTGCGAGAGCGCAAGGCAGGGTGAGTACACAGGCAAGTCCTCCTGCCTGCTGATATACCCACCAGCAGTGGGGACAGGGCCAAGGCGGCATCGATCTGGAGAAGGTCAGAGCCTCCCACAAACCCAGGCTGTGCACTAGACCTCAGAGGTACAGCAGGCTAGGGAGAGCACACCTTCCCTTGCTTACTGTAGTTCCAACCAAATTACACTTGCCTCTCCCCAACCGTCAGGTTTTCCTTTTCCTTTTCAGACCTCTGGACTGCAAGACACTCTCTGAGTGTATCTGCGGTAGGAAAATGCCCTGCAGCTCCTTGGCAGCTCAGGGATGGCATCAATCTTCCTTTTTCCCACGTGCTCCCATGTGAGGGATGGGTGTTCAGATCCTCAGTGCAGCAGAAAAAAACAGCAGAAAAACATGGATTTACTTTTTCCTCGGTAAATGCTCAGCATGGGGTAAACAAGCCACCGTCACGGTGTAAGGGAGGGGATGAGGGATGTGCCAGGGCTGGATGGGCAGAGCTCTGATCAAGCTGGGCTGGGGCTGCTGTGGGACTGAGCCCTCCTGCTCCGAGCTGACACGGGTGTCAGGGTAAGGGTAGGCATATCAGCTGGCCCAAAGCATACCAGCGTTCACCCTTCTTTCTCTGGGAACTCGTGCCCACTGTAATTTACCAACAAATATCATATTTCGGAGCCTCTTTCTCCCTGGAGTTTGTTTCTGGATAAACTAAACTGTACTGGGCCTCGGTCTTTTATACCTTCTCAGAAGAGTGTTGCTAATTCCATCTCGTGTAGGACTGAATGCTGTCATCATCCTACATTTAGCACCATGCTGGAGGAAAATGGGTGGCACATATGCCACTCTCTTGGCAAGTGAGTGTCTCTCAGTGACAG